ATAACGTTCGCATTTTCTGTTGGTACTCATGCAAGAACTTACTAGGCTGCTCATTCGCTTTACCACTGAAACGAGTAATTGAATCATTAATGGTAACTTGTAGAGTTGCCGGAGAAGTGAGAACAGTGGATCGTGAAGAAGAATTAGAAAATTTTCTTTTTGATTTTCTTTTTCTTCGGGATTCTGAAGTTATCTCTTTCCCACCGTAATGCGAATCATCATCATTACTACTACTTGAAAACGAAGAAGCGTTTAGTTTACGATGGTGTTTCTTATTTTTCAAAGTTTTACTTTTCTAGTGGACTTCTAAAAATTCACTTTTATCTGCATGCGTAGCGTCGCTTCCTGTTAGGGAACTATTTAAAGATGATAAGGATGGCGCAGACGATTTCTGATGGTGATTTTTCTTAGGTTTTTGTTTTATTTTAGACCTAAGATCAACTTCTGTTCTAAGAGAAGAAATAGATTGATCAGTAGATGGTGAACTTTTGTGCTGTTTCTGCAACTTAACAGGAATTTTCTGTCTCGTCTTTCGTTCGGAAACAAGTTTTGATTCTTTGACAGAGGTTTTAGCAGATGTATTAAGAGGTAAAATCTCAGTCTGCGTGCTAGAATCACTTTTTGCAATAGAAAGCGGTAAATGTTCTTTAGAGTGATGACACGATGGGCATTCTCCCAAAATCTCTAGATTTTTCTCTTTATTTCTACCATGCGACGATAACGAATTTGCATGTCGAGAAAAATCTGAATTAGAGGAATGCCATTGCTTTACAGGCAAAGAAACGTTCGATACGCGTAATTCCGCTGCAGCCACTTCAGCAGTCGAAGGAACATCGGTTAAAACCCGTGTCCATGTCTTGACTGCCGTTAATTGAGGTTGTAATGAATTTTGCTGCTGATCTATGACACGAACCAGTGCTTCTGCCTGTATTTTCATAGCTTCCAACATTAACTTGTTCATTGTTTTCACTACACCACTGGAAACATGTGATCCAGCTTTCGATGCAACTGATCTGGCAGGATCTATGTCATTCTGTCAATTCCCCTTTTTGCCAGTGACGCTCTGACAATTGGCAGAACTTGCAACTTATTCAATGGCTGTTGGTCCTATTACTTGGGGTAAAAAAAAATTAGGTGGAGATATGTTATTTATGGAAGAAAGTATTTATGTGTTTCAATCCAAATCAGACAAACTGAAGAAAAAGTTATGGAGATGCCAACGTCGTGACAAAAAGTGCCGCGCAGTGGTGTATACTGATTCAACAAGCGCTAGTTATCTTGGTAATAATGGCATCGATCATAATCATCCAACAGATTTGTTATTGGTGAAGAAACATCGTCTAGTTAATGACTTGAAACGAAAAGTGGAAGATCTCACTGTTAATGTTCCTGCTGCAGTGGATCAGGGAATCGCCAATTTGGCACTGGATAACGAACATATGGTTAATTTCCCTCTTCCAAAAATAGTTGGTAAGTTTTTTTTTTGCAGGTTAAGTTAGAGATAGATATCT